AAGCCATGAAGTCCAAGGAATCGTCCGTAGACCTCTGAGACAGAATTGTATCAAGGCACAGATCTGGGGAAGGGTACAGAAAAATTTCTGCAGCATTGAAGGTCCCAATGAGCACAGTGGCCTCCCATCACCTGTAAATGGAAGAAGTTTGGAACCCCCAGGAATCTTCCTAGAGCGGGCCGCCTGGCCAAAATGAGTGATCGAGGGAGAAGGGCCTTAGCCAGGGAGGTAACCAAGCACCCGATGGCCACTCTGAAAGCGTTTCTCTGTGGAGAGAGGAGAACCTTCCAGAAGAACAACTATCTCTGCAGTACTCCACAAATCAGGCCTGTTTGAAAGAGTGGCCAGAAGGAAGCCACTCCTCAGTAAAAGGCAAATGGCAGCCCACCTGGAGTTTGCCAAAAGGCACCTGAGGGACTCTCAGACCATGAGAAACAAAACTCTCTGGTCTGATGAATCAAAGATTGAACACTGTGGACTGAATGCCAAGCATCATGTCTGGAGGAAACCAGTCACTGTCCACCACCTGGCCAATACAATCACTACAGTGAAGCATAGTGGTGGCAGCATCATGATGTGGGGATGTTTTTCAGCTGCAGGAACTGGGAGACTAGTCAGGATCGAAGGAAAGATGAATGCAGCAATGTACAGAGACATCCTTGATGAAAACCTGTTCCAGAGTGCTCTGGACCTTAGACTGGGGCAATGGTTCATCTTTCAACAGGACAACGACCCTAAGCACACAACCCACATAACAAAGGAGTGGCTATGGGCCAACTTTGTGAATGTCCAGGAGTGGCCCAGCCAGAGCCCAGGCTTGAACCTGATTTGAACATCTCTGGAGAGATCTGAAAATGGTTATGCACTGACGCTCCCCCCATCCAACCTGATGGAGCTTGAGAGGTACTGCAAAGAAGGATGGGAGAAATTGCCAAAAAATAGGTGTGCCAAGCTTGTAGCATCATACTCAAAATGAATTGAGGCTGTAATTTGTGCTAAAGGAGCTTCAACAAAGTATTGAGCAAAGGCTGTAAATACTTATGTTCATGTGGTGTGTTTTTTATTTTTTTTTTTTTTTTTTTTTAATTTTAATAAATTTGTAAATGTTTCAAAATGAACTTCTTTCACGTTGTCATTATGGGGTATTGTTTGTAGAATGTTGAGGGAAAAAAATGAATTTAATCCACTTTTGGAATAAGGCTGTAACATAACAAAATGTGGCAAAAGTTAAGCGCTGTGAATACTTTCTGGGTGCACTGTATAAGCTAATGTCTGGATGAACCAGGCATTAAAGAACTACTGTGTTTAAAAAAAAAAAAAAAAAAAAAAAATGAGGTCTTCAAAACGTTCACCATGCCTTTTTATATAATACCTTGTGGAGGTTGCTTTTGGTGATTTTGTGGGTGTTTCCACTGTCCCGGTGTCCCAGGACCTCCGAAAATGTGATAGGCAGTCAGGAAATTGGATGCATAATTTTATGGTCCTTGACAGCCTAAAGGTGCTCCTTGGATTTTTGGCCCCTCTATGCATCTCACTTTTAGAATAATTTTGACAAATTACAACTTCAAAAACCTTGCCATGCCTCTTACTAAATACCTTAGACCAGTGGTTCTTAACCTTTTTGGAGGTACTGAACCCCACCAGTTTCATATGCGCATTCACCGAACCCTTCTTAATTGGAAAAATAAAATATGATTTTTAAAATTCAAAACATAGGTATATATTTATACATAGGTGCACAAAATGAACAAAACCATTAAGAACAAAGAACAAAACCATTAAAACATGATTTTCACACAAAAACAAAATAATGAATATTTACCGCAAATCAGTGTGACTTCTGCTGTTGTCTTTCAGAGGCCAGTTCAGAAATGCGGGGGCATTACCTTGGCAAGTGCCACTCTCATGTCATTTTCGCAACAAAGTCTGTTCCTTTTCTTCGTCTTTATGTCCAGCATCCACGAAAAGGATTGCTCGCAAAGATATGTTGTAACAAACGGTATGAAAATTCATCCCCCATAGTAATTCATCCCCCATATAGTAATTCATCCCCCCTATATAGTAATTCATCCCCCATAGTAATTCATCCCCCCTATAGTAATACATCCCCCATAGTAATACATCCCCCATATAGTAATTCATCCCCCATATAGTAATTCATCCCCCATATAGTAATTCATCCCCCCTATAGTAATTCATCCCCCATATTAAGTCCCCAAGTCTCCCCTGTGTCAATTCACTTACCTTTGCTCCGCGCGTTCCTCTCGCTGTATTCCCGCGCCGTTCCGGTCTTCAGGGCGGACTGTGAGAGGAGCCTAGCTCCTCTCACGTTCGTCACGCTGCCCCGCCTACACACATCCTGACAGCCAATCACTGGCTATCAGGATGTGAGTGGCAGCGAGACTGGCCAATCATTGCATTTGAGTCCCTGCCGCCCGAGAGGAGGGAGGGGAGCGGGCGCCCGGCACACAAGAGCCGCGGCTTGCCGACCACTGGGCATGTCATCACAAATCATGAGTCGGGTGTGAGTCACCTCCGCCGAACCCCCGAGACTGACTCACCGAACCCCTGGGGTTCGATCGAACCCAGGTTAAGAACCACTGCCTTAGACTATCTACTTTCCAAAAAGGGGTCATTTGGGATAAGGAGGGGATTTGTACTGTTCTGTCATTTTAGGGCCTCAAGGAATGAGATTGACTGACTGAAAATCAGAAGACTGATTTGGGTTATCGTTACCAAATAATGTAGCATAAAGTTATGAAAAAAAGATTTATTTGTAAAATTTCATAACAAACGAAGAGGCATGGTTTTTTTTGTTTTTGTGGTTTTTTTTTTTTCCCTTTAAAAACTTTCAGTATATTTTTTTTTTTTTTCTCATTTATAGTAAAAAATAAATTGACTACCATCAAAAGAAAGCTCTATCTGTCTAAAAAAATAAGAAATTTAATTTGGGTACAGTGTTGAATGACTGAGTAATTGTCATTCAAAGTATGACGGCACTGAAAAATGGCCTGAGCAGGAAGGGGGTGAATGTGGCTTCAGGTGGTTAATGCCTAGTTCATACACTCTTTTAGCTTGTGAATTCTGATGTGTACAAATGTCTTCAAAGTGGATATTCAGTTTGAAAAAAATTAAGTCAGCATCCAAATCCTGTTGCTGCTGAACTTTAATAAAAGGGCACTTACCTGTCCAGGGATTCAGCAGTGGGCAGATTCTTCATCGGTCTTCAGGTCATGTTTACTGTGGGAAGCTGGCCGTGATTCCACGCAGCTTTGCAGCCAGCTCCCCACTATGTATGCAGGAGTCATGTTATGCCTTGTGAACATACCCTCAGCCTCCTGGGACCAGTGATGTGTCCCAAGAGGTTGCAGGGAGGGGGAGAGCTTTTGGTGGAATTGTCTGGGTGACTCCAGCAGAAATGGGTATGGGTACCTGCCAAAAAAAAGTGCCAAAAGAGGGCCATAAAACAGAACTTCGCTTTTTTTTTTTTTTTTTTTTTAGGTGAAGTTCTACTTTACAACTGAAGACTAGAACTGAAGAGTGCCTTAAACATCAATCTTAATGGGAGTGCTCGAGGCCACTTACATCTATCTCAACATTTAAAATGATCCTGTTTGGCATGGTGACATGATCTTTACAGCTGCTTAAAGCTTGCAGAAAGCTCTGTTAATGTTTTGTGACACTTGTGCACATTACTTACAACTACATATATATTTTTTTCAAATTTTCCTTCCTCTTCGTCAGAGTCCCATTTCCTTGAGTTACTCAGCAGCAACAGCATATGTGAAATCTGGTAATTCCCACCATCCCATGGTGTACTAAATATAGTTGGGTTATAAAATGAGCTTCGTAGCCTTTCCAGTAGATATAAATGAGTGTTAAGGTAATTAAAACATTTACAGGAATTTTACAACTCCGTTTCATTAGATAATATCTAAAGGAATGGTTGAGGTGCTGTTTGTCTCTGGCTATGGAAGAGAGCACCACTTATAGCAGATTCAGACACAAATCCAACGCAGTACGTTATTTATTGTTGGGTCCTTTGACTTGTCTTTAAAGGGGACCTTCAGTTTTTTTTTTTTTTTTTTTTTTTTTTTTTATCTTTAATGCTATTAAATCTTCTGCCCTTGCTGTGCTAATTTTGGAAAGTAAAACATTCATTCATTCATTTGGTGCCAGTAAAGACCTTATTCTTGTTACTTCTGCTTTTTGTTCTTGTATTTCTCCTAGGCAGGTGACGTGTTGTACAGCATTCGCGCTGAATCCTGGGATATAGTCTTCAGTTTTTTGGGGGTTTTTTTTGTCTCACTCTCATTGAGAGTTTGCTAGCAGGGGTGGGCTGCAGGGCTGGAGGAGGTTGGATGAGGTGGAGATGAGGAGTACAATGCCTCCCAGTCGCACATGCACAGTAAGCAGAACACTTCTAATCCGATGTGTACAGGTTTACTATAGCAGCGGCAGCGAACTGCCACTTCTATATCGACATGTAAACAAGTGGCTGTTCTGTGATAGTAACCTGTACACATAGGACTGGAAGTGCTCTGCTTTCTGCGCATGCGCGACCAAGAGGCATTGTACTGCGCATGGACTAGGTTTTGTGGGCCAGCGAGGCGGAGCAACACAGGCTATTGCAAGAAAACTGCAACTAGGGTTTCAGTTGCCCTCAGTAAACATGGCCACTTGCAGTGTGGAGTGTGGAAGAAGTGTGGAGTATGAGAAACAAGCAGTTTGACAGGCAAAAAGTATGGTTACAGTAATGCCAATTCCTAATTAATCTTTCAAAAGTGAGAACTACATACTGTTGTATTTTTTTGGAATACGCATGTTTGACTGCAGTTTCTCTTTAGGTTGCCTTTGTTTTGCTTCTTGGTTGCTCAAGATGTTGCATCAAGCTGCTTTGTGTTGCTTATGCATTCACATTGCATTCACAACTGTTGTGAATCAAAGCGTCTCAGATGCAAACAAAAGCATTCATTTTTTTTTTTGTTTCTTTGTTTCAGTTACCACTCAAGCACTGGAAATCCATATGAATCTCAGCACAGCTACATCTGCTCCTCATCACTTAAGTAAGTGGTTCTTATTTACAGTATTTGATTTAACGTTGAAATAACAGTAAATCTTGTAGCAGGAATACCCTAGAATCTCCTTATGAATGAATAACGCGTTTCTAAGGGGTTTGCAGTAAGAACATCAAAGCCTAGTTGGGATCTGGCAGAAAACAGAAGTGAAGGCTTTGTCTGTAGCAGCCACTTTTGATTGTAGCTGAATATTTTCCAGAGCAGGTGCTCACTCTCATGTGATGGTAATGAAATTAAGTTAAATAAATGTATTTTTAAAAAATGTTAAAATGGAGTTAGACTTACTCTATGCCCCCTCCGAGTTATATACTCTTTTGATCCAGGGAGATCTTGGTTGTGTAGCTTTAGTTGCCACCAAATCTTCCTGTCAGACCAGGACATTTGTGGCCCTATCTCTATGTAATTGACACGTGTGTGTGTGTGTGTGTGTGTGTGTGTGTATGCATAAAATATGACATAGCACACATGTATGTACATAAATACTGATTGCCTGACACATACCGTATTTTTCACTCCATGAGACGCACTTTTTTCCCCCCAAAAAAGGGGGGAAAATGTCAGTGCGTCTTATGGAGCGAATATGGAGCGGCCGGTCCGGTATGTCCACCGCCACCGTGTCAGAATACTGGGCCGGCCACTCAGCTCTGCAGCGGGACCTTATGGAGATGACTGCTGACCTTTGGGGAGGGGGGGGGGGGCAGCGGGTACCTGAATTTGACAGGTACCCGCTCTTACTTCCGCGGAGTTGTTCTTTGATCTTACATGTTCCTCTATCCAGCGGCGTGCTGTCTTCCCGGCTTCTGTAGTGTGGACGCTGGGCTTGACATCTGGGTGCCAAGTGCGCATGCGCAAGAAGCGGTGCTTTTTGTGAATGGTAAGGCGGTACTTGGGACACATGACAGATCCCAGAAGCCGCCGGACCAATCACAAAGCGCAAGTGCTTCTCGCCCATGCGCACTGGGCACCCGGCTAGGTACAGGTAAGATCAAAGAACAACTCCGCGGAAGTAAGAGCGGGTACCTGTTAAATTCAGGTACCCGCTCCCCCCCTCCCCAAAGGTCAGCAGTCATCCCTGTGTGCTGTCCGCAGTCTCTGGTCATCCCTGTGCTGTGCTGTCCGCAGTCTCTGGTCATCCCTGTGCTGTCCGCAGTCCATTAGTTCAGAAGTCCATTTTTTTTTTTTCCGGTTTTCTGCCCGTAAAACCTAGGTGCGTCTTATGGTCAGGTGCGTCTTATGGAGCGAAAAATGCGGTATTTGGTTTCCTCATGCATCAGAGATAGTAACTTTTATTTAGGTTTAACTCTAAATTGATATGCTGTAAGGTTTTTTCAATACTTTGCTTACTTACAACTGTGGGTACCTTTAATTTTGCTTTTGTGTAATTTTGTTTCAAAATATAATTGGTATGATCTTGACTTTTTATATTTAAACTGTGTTTACAATTTTTTTAAAATAATTTACAGAGTTTTTATTTTTTATTTTTTTTATGTATGTATTTCTTTTTTATAACCCAACTACTTTTTCATCCCTCCCCCTGTCACCTCTGACATCAGCAGTTCCTTGAATGTTCAGGTTCATCATCTTTTTGCTTTTTTTCCTTCTAGGCAATCCTGGAATAGCTGCATCACTCCTGCTGGGAACTTTCTTCATCAGCCTGTTTCTTGTTCTATCTGTGGCCTCATTTTTTTACCTCAAACGTTCACACATGCTGCCAGAAATTTTTCTACAGGAGGAATAAAGGTATATGACATGACATAGTATTTTAAGGGTTATTTAGGGAACTATCTATTAGGCAAAATCTAATGGAATATTGTGTAGTGATTTTAGAGGTTTGTGGTCTGTTATCTGGAATAGTTGGGTCTATAAGTTTTACAGTGGGTATAGAAAAGAATCACCTCCCCCCCCACCCCCTCTCTCCCCTTTAAAATTATCACATTTTATTGCTTTGCAGCCTGATATGAAGACACACAGGTTTTGTTTTATCCAACTTCTACCATCCAAGTGAAAGCTATAACATCAACATGTCAGTGATGCTGTTTTTGAATATTTTTTTTTCCCCTGTGTTGGAAAGAGGATCACCCCCTTGTCAGTATTTTTGTTGAACCACTTTTAGCTTTAATTAAAGCCTTTTGTCAGTCGGGATATGTCTCTACTAACTTTGTACATCTAGATGTTGCATTATTTGCCCGCTCTTCTTTGCAGAACTGCTCAAGTTCCGTTACATTTGATGGTGACTGTTTCTAGACTGCAGTCTTCAAGTCATTCCACAGATTTTCAATGGGGTTAAGGTCTGGGCTCTGACTAGGCCATGCAAGGACATTCACCTTTTTCTCTCCTTCAACCACTGTGTGGTCATTTTTAGCTGTACGCTTTGGGTCATTGTCATGTTGGAAGGTAAACCTTGTTCCCATTGACAATTTTCCGGTAGAGGGCAGCACACTTTCCTCAAGATTTGACGGTATTTTGCCCCATCCAATTTTTTGTTCTGTCCTGACAAGTGCTTGAGTCCTGGCTGCAGAGACCCCCCCCCCCCCCCCCCCCCCCCCCCCCCATAACAGAATATTACCACCTCCATGCTTTACTTTAGGAATGGTATTATTTGGATGGTGAGCTGTACTGGGTTTCTGCCAGATAAATCATTTTGGTGTTGAGGCCAAATAATTCAATTTTAGTCTCATCTGACCATAATACCTTTTTCCATGTGACCTCAGAATCTTCAAGGTGTGTTTTGGCAAAACTTAGTGGTGACTGCATGTGGCCTTTCTTGAGAAGTGGCTTTTTTCTTGCGACTTTCCCATACAAGCCACATTTGTGGTGAATTTGCGATATTGTTGTCACATGCACACAATAACCACTCCTTTCTCATCAATTGCTACAACTGCTTCAGAATTTCTGTAGGCCTCTTGGTGGCTTCTCTGACCAGATTCCTCCTGGTTCTGTCATCCAGTTTGGAGCCACGTTATGATCCAGGGACGGTCTATGTTGTACCAAATACCTTCCACTTCCTAATAAGACTTCACTGTGCTTCTAGGCATTGATAAAGCCTTTTGAAATTTGTTTTTTTTCTAGTCATCTTTTGACTTGTGCCTGTCCACAGCTTTATCCTGCAGATCTTTTGACAGTGTATTGCCACCCATAGTTGATTGTTTACTTCAGTTGCACTATCAGGGACTGAAATGCTCCAGGAAAGCTTTTTTTCATGCTGAGCTAATGAAAATGGCCACAGCTGATCACAATTGAAAATAAATGCCTTTGTGTGCCATTGGGAAGGTGATTAGCTACACCTGTTTGAGTTTAGAAATCCTTTTTAGGAGAGAGGTGATCCTTTTTCCAACTCAGTGATTCTGTTTTTGAGGGTTCTTTGTTTAAAGCAAAATGTCAGAAAAAAAAAATTTCATGTGGATGTTATCCGTTGCACTTATACAGTTGAATAAAACAAAAATTGTGCCTGTCTTCATTTCAGGCTGCAAAGCAACAAATTTGATTATTTTAAAAGGGGGTGATTCTTTTCTATGCCCACTGTAGGTATGTTTCACTGAATGCAAGATGTACTGTAGTGCTCACACTTGTTCTCTACATGTGCAGAAGAAAGCATGTAATGGATCTCGTGGTTTTTCCTTGCCTCCCAAAGTAGGCCTTCCGTTCTCTCAAAAATATATCTTTTTTTCCAACATACAAATACCATCAGAGAAGCAAACCTAAAAACTATATCTGTTGCCTTTTAGAAAAAGAAAATATAAAGTGCCCTGCAATAGTAGAATGTTATAGTCACCTGTCCAGCTGTCCGTCTCCTGGAATATTCATTCTGTTAAAGAGCTATAGCTGCCTGAAGGTTCTTCACATCCTTGCTGTGGTTCTTTCCCTCATGGGGCCAGCAGATGGAACTACTATGCATGGAAAGAACCAGGCATCCAGCACACCAGAAAGTGTCAGACGTGAAGACTCTTTGGACAACTGTACTTCAAGAGAATAAAAAATCCCAGGAATGTGTGGTGGACATGAGGAGTTGAGTAGTAAATACATTCTTCTGTTGAAGTGACTTTTTTTTTTTGTTAGAGACTGTAGAGTCACCTTGAGGTAGAATTAAACCCTCCTCTAAACTTGCTTTATTATAAGAGAAGTTAGGTATTGTAAAAAGACAAACCTACATCTCACCTAGGTGTATGCAGCATTGGTCTGATGTTGCATCTGTCCCCGATGCTTCTGTGACTGAGAAATGAATGATCAGACTGCTGATTGTTCAGTTCTGGGTTTTCAGTGAGCTCATGCTCTCAGCAGCTCACTGGGGGGCTGAGCCTGCTGTCTGTCCAGACATCTGGGTGGATCCCCTCAGTTTTTAAAAAATGATGGGACAGCTAGTATGGGGAAATTATCCTACAGTGGTCCTGTAGAAGTGATTGGGTGGCTGTAGTGCCGCTTAGATTACTTCTGCAGGAAAGCCCATCGCAGGCTCAAAATTTTGATATCAGAATGATCGTGTGTGTGTGTGTGTGTGTGTGTGTGTGTGTGTGTGTGTGTTTTTCACAGAAGCCTTTTGGTTCACATGTCTTAGTGTCCTAATTTCCTGGGACATACCTGTACAGACACTAGAGTGAACCTTTTGTCAAATGAAAAAAGACATGCATAACATTAGTGCATTGCTAATTCACAGTGCCAGGCCCACGTGAAAGCAACAAACCCTGGATGCTCACCATTTGAAAGGGGGGTGTTATCAGCTTAAAGTGGCTATATGTCTTCAAACAAATTACATTCTAGATTAACGCATCCAAAATGCTCTCAAAATTTTATCTTCCAGTATACTAGCAAATTTCTCAACTGTCATGACACAGTGGGGTTTTCCAAGCCCTCACTATGGAACTTGTCAGGATCTTTATTAAAGGAGAAGTACAGCAAATGCTCTTTTGGCTGTACTTCTATGGATCACAGGAGTGCAGTTCATCCTGCACTTCTGTGACTTGTGTTCAACTGCCAGCAGGCTAAAGCCGGTCGAGGCTGGAGAAGGATCGTGACCATATGGTCGAGATGCACCGCAGCGTTTTAAGCAACACCTGGCTCAGCCTCTCGGCGAGCCGCTTAAAAGCCTGATCCATCCGCTTCCTTCCCTCCACAGCCCAGCGCTCCAGTGAGTGCGGCTGGGAGCAGAGCAGAGAGCGCTGACTGACAGTCACTGCTCTCTGCCCTCAGCGACGATGAAAACTCAGCGGTCATGCGATTGCTGAGTTCTCACCCTTGGGTACCTAGACAAGTATGATATATATATATTTTTTTTTTTTTTTTTTTTTTATGTTGCTTATACCTCTTTTAATTGTTGGCATTACTAAGATGGGTGTATAGGAAGATATCTCTACCAGCTAAACAAAGATTGAGATAATGTGACTATTACCTTGTTTTCCAGCCTATAAAGCAACTTTCATTTAACACAATGGTAAACAGCTAAGTGTTCAAATACTGTCAAATTACATAATGGTTCTTGGAAAAATGTGTTCTTTTGTTGTCACATATCCTTGCTGTGCCATCAACAAACTACTGTCAACCTGCCATACCTAAATATTATGTTTATGCTAGTCTTGCCTGTCTGCCATGGCATACAAGGGTTTACCTGCAGCTGGAAATATTTCCCTGGCTATAAACCTTTCTAAGTGTTACTATATGCCAAAGGTAATGGCAAACTATTTAAGCCCGAGACAGGCCTGACAATTAGAATGCAGTATTCCCATTGTCTGAGAAATGAAAGCCAAGCAGGAACACAATATTTAAAGCAAAGCTCCACCCAGAAGGGGAAGTTCTGCTTTAAGGCCTTGTCCCTCACTCCCCTTTAAGGATTGGCACCTTTGGAAAGTGGGGACCCAATTTTGACAGGCACCTGCTCCCACTTAGGGTATGATCGCCTAGGCGAGCGGAAGTTGTCCTCCATTCCAGTTTTTATATCTGCTGACTTTTATTTTTTTACATTATAACTGGAGGTCCGCTTTAATATTACTCTTTTTAGAGTTTGTCAACACATTGCACAATGTTTGTTAGTAAGGAAGACCGTTTAAACATGTGGGTAAGGAAGTGTTCACGGAAATTGGTAGTTATTTGCTTTCTAGAGTCAAACAAAGAAAACCAGTTGCTTGGCTTGGTGTGCCAGCTGTCTAAAGACCCAGGAGGATGGATTATGTGATGTGAACAGACTTCCTAAATCATTTTTGTTATGTACCTCAAATTTGTAAGGGGAAAGTGCAGGTTTTATTTTTTATTAACAGATGATTCTTCTGTCTAATAGTTTGGTACCATCTTATATTTTTAACTTTTAGTTTCTTCTTTTTCCCCTCCTTTTTTGTCGCCTTTTTTCAGGCTGGAGGCGGGGGGAGGTAATAGATTGAATAGTCGTATCTGTACACTGACATTCACCAACAGAACATGCTCACTTGTACTAAAAGCTGTCCTTTCTTTCACCTGTAGCATCCATCTTGCAGCCTAGTGAAATGGTAAGTCATTGTTACCCTTGTGCAGAACTTAAAAGTATTCTAATTTAACAGGCTTATTCAGAAAGGCAAAACTGCCAGACAGATGCACCTTATTCGGGTAAAACCTTCACAAGAGTGCCATGATTAGAAAGTTGGTGGAACTATACTTGCTCAGTCAACAATTATTTTTAATCCTTATGCTGCTAGTCTCGGTAAATGGATAGAAACATATATTTCCTTCCTGGATTTTGGCCTATGCCAAAATGATGTTCTACATCCCCGGGCATTTTTTTTTCATCTGGAGGGGGGGGGGGGGGGGGGGGACTTTATCAGCTAAGAACACCCTCCTGCCTGCATGACTAAGGGCAGATGGATTCTAGGAAGGAAATGCTACATATATCATCTTACCCTTACTCAACTTGGCTGTGACTAGAAATGCTACGGGGGGGGTCTTAAAAGTGATTTTGCAACAAAATAAAGGACAGAGACATGGATAGGTGAGTTTAATTTTGCATAACAAAATGAATTGAATTGCATTGCATTTTCAGTTTGTGGTGCTCAAATACATTTTAAGTTTTGCTTTAAGGACTTAAAGTTCAGCTAGTCCTGCGATAAGCATCAAAATGTGCTGTTGTGAAGTTTTTACCTGAATAGTGTTTGTGTGCCTCAAATTTCATGTCAAATGTTTGTGGATGGAGATATTTCAGTGAGTCCGTGTGGAACCAGATTTGTCCCTTTTTGATAATTTTAAAGGCAAATTTGTCTTTATTATTTTGCATAAATTTAACAGACATAGCATGAGAAGTATAAGGAACATGTACAAGTAGATAAACAAAAAAAAAATCAGATCAGGTTATGATCCATATGAACATATGAAATGATGCAGTAAAACTGCAAGAGGAAAGGATCAATAACTTATATTACAGAGGTATAACATCATAACGTATCGGGGGTATCCCTGGGTGAGATGTCTGAAACATTATGAGAGAACTCCATACAACCAAAAATGTAAACTTAAAAAGAGAGAGAGAAAGGAAAGCAAAAGAGGAGAAGAGGGAGAAGAGAGGGGTTGGGAGACGGGGACAGTAAAAAGCAAAAGTAGGGTGGTTCCTCAACCGAAGCAACCCTGTTGCCCGTATCTCGGCACGGACCGCAGGGTCCAATTGGCGGATAAGCCAAAATGAAATTTAGTCGTGGGAGCAAGGCTCAACTCCACTAGAGCGCAACAGGGGTACACATATCTCGGAGAGTCGTAGAGGAGGAGAAATGGAGCCAGATCGACCACAGCAACTTATATTTATCATGGGTATCATTGGTAAACGGCAGCATTTCCTCCATACGCATGGTATCATTAAGCCGTTTTCCAAAAGAGGGGTATCAATTGGCGGGCCGCAGCAGCAAGAAGCGCAACAGACTTTTCTTCTGTGCTGCTTGTGAACCCTGTAATATAGATAGAAGGGCAATATCTGGCGAAGGGGCCAAGGACTCACCGTAGACCCGGTTATATACAACAAAGACTTGTCGCCAGAAGGGTTGTATTTGATCACAATCCCACCAGATGTGGAGCTGTGTACCAACAGCTCTATTACAGTTCCAACAAAGATCAGGTGTAGAAGGAACGATTTTGTGTAGGGAGAGGGGATCCCTGTACCATCGAAAAGAAGCTTAATATTATTTTCTTGTGAGTAGCAAGAAATAGACGATTTATGAGTAAAGTGGAACGACGTGGACCAATCTTCCGCCGAAATGTCCTTACCTAGGTCTCCAGCCCACGCCTTAGCATAGGGAGGGAGTTCAGAGTGAAGAGCATTGTGGAGCACTTTATAGAGAGAAGCTAGGACGTGTCTCGGTGGTTCAGACAGGGAACACAGTCGCACAGTCTCAGAAAGTGGGCGATGAATGATGGAGGAAGAGTGCAAGTGCTTGCAAAAGGAGGATAGGTGTAGATTGGTTAACCAATCTGTAGACCCACTCTGAAGGAGCGGAAGACCCGATTGGGGGCAGATAAAGCCACGGGCCAGGAAGCGCGTGTGAGGTTTCAATAATGGAAGAGCCCAACCCCTGAGGAAGAGTGGGATTATCAAATAGTGATGATAAAGGAGAGGAATCGGAGGATAAAAGAGTAATTATGGCTTGTTTATACCACAACCGTTTAACAGCTAAAGTCAAAGGGGACAAGCCGGGAAAACGCAGATATTCCCAATCATACCCCCATGGTAATGCCCGAAGATCAACCTGAGAGAGATCCTGTTCAATCATACAAGAGGCTTTACGGGAGGGGTCTAGGAAACCAATCAAGCATTCGGGCTAGTAACGTGGCTCTGTAGTAAAGCTCAAAGTTCAGTAAACCCACTCCACCCTCAAGTTTCGGATAAGTAAGTAACCTGTGTTCTAACCTGGAAAACCCACGGTGCCAAATAAATCTAATTGAAAGGGAGCGTAATGAAAGGAAACAACTCCTAGGGACAGAGATCGGTACAGTATGAAAAACGTATAGTAGCTTAGGCAAAGTATCCATCTTGAGGGTGTTGGTGCGGCCGAACCAGGGCAGGACTGAAGCACCCCATGAAGCCAAATCCCTTCAGATACGCGAAAGTAAGGGTAAATAATTAAGGGTATTAATTAATTAGAGTATTAAGATCGGCTGAAATCTGGATCCCCAAGTGATAGCCTTCAGACGCCATTGAAATGAAGTTAGGCCGAAGGTTCGTCAGTACATGGGGAGGTAAAGAAATATTGAGGGCCTCCGTTTTAGAGATATTAAGTTGCTGAAGGAACCAAATCTACGAAATTCATGGAAAAGACTGAGGAGGGAAATAAGGGGCTGTTGAACGTAAACTAGAAGGTCGTCAGCGTATAAGGATAATTTATGATGTGCAGAGGGAGTGTGGATGCCCAAGATTGAGTCGTTAGCGTGTATGGCTCTCGCAAGATGTTCCATTTCTTGAACAAAGAGAAGGGGCGAAAGCGGACATCCTTGTCTGGTCCCATTCGATGTGGGAAAGGGAGAAGAAACCATATCGTTGACCAGGACAGACGCCGAAGGATGAGAATAGAGGGACATAATCCGAGCAAGGAACCGCAAACCCAAACCGATCTGTTCCAAGGTAAGATGGAGAAAGCGGAGTCAACGCGATCGAACGCCTTCTCAGCATCAAATGAACGTAGGCAAGCCTTTAGCCGTGTTGCTTGCTATAAGAGATCAGATGGATTGTTTTAGAAGTACTATCCCTAGCTTCACGACCCAGGACAAAGCCAACCTGGTCGTGGTGGATCAAGGTTGGTAGGAAAGAGGAAAGACTGTTTGCTAAAAGTTTTTAGCAAAAAGCTTAACGTCCAGGTTGAGTAAAGAAATTGGTCGATAACTACCGCAATGAGAAGGGTCTTTACCTGGCTTAGGAATAACCGAAATCGTGGTGGACAAAAAAGATGATGAAGGTACATTCAAATCATCGATAACATTAAACACTTGGGCCAGAAGCGGGGCTAATTGGGTGGTGTATGTTTTGTAAAAGCGTGGGGTGAATCCGTCCGGACTCAGGCACTTACCAGTTTTCAGGGCCTTAATTGCCCCAAGAACGTCTAAAATTGAGAAGGGCTCCTCCAGATCCAATGCATCTTGGGGATCTAGAACAGGTAACTTCGTCTCCATAATATATTGGGACATAGCCCGCAGGGAGGAAACGGGAGAAGCATCACAATTCGCTGCGGAGAGGTTATAGAGTTGAGAATAGTAGCGCTCAAACGCAGAACAGATGCCCTTATTGTGATAGATTTTAGTATCGGCAGGCACCTTGATGTATTGGATCGGACGACTGGACGGTCGAGGGTAGCGTACATGTGCCAGGTGCTGACCACATTTGTTAGCTAGAGAGTAATGAGTGTTGCGTACTTTGTCTCATGCAACAAGGGAGGAGGAATCCAGTAGTTGGAGTAAATCTCTACGAGCGTTAGAGAGGTCCACCGCAAGCACCAGGTCCAACATACGTTTGTGGGACGATTCAAGGCGTGCAATGAGTGAAAAAAGCAACCCATCTCCGTTGTACGAGCTTTTTTCAAGCGAGAGCCATGGTTAATGAGAACCCCTCTAAGAATACATTTGAGGTTCTCCCATTGGTTAAGAGGGCCGGTAGTGTCCGATGTGTGGTCCAGAATAAAGTCCTGGATAGTCTTTACAACCTCCACGATACTTAGAGAATCTATGAGTAGGGTATCGTTCAAGCACCACGAAAAGCGACACAAAGACGACGATCGGTCCTGAATCGTAAGATGGACTGGGGCGTGGTCTAACCATAATAAATGACCGAGAGAGGATGAAATAGGACAATCTAGAAAAGACTGTGAAACAAAGAAATAGTCTATACAACTGTATGATGCATGAGCTGCAGAGTAATAACTATAGTCTCCCTCCGAAAGGATGTTGGATGCGCCAAACATCCACTAGGTGTAAGTCATGCAAACGCGACTTAAGTTGAGATAAGGCCAGTAAGGAGAGAGCAGATTTACCCGCTGAAGTGTCCAAGTCTGGAGAAAGAGCTACGTTGAAGTCCCCTCTGACGATGAAACGGGGACCCCCAAAAAGCGGACAGCCTAGAGAGGACCGTTGGCAGAAACGGAGCCTGATCTATATTAGGAGTGAAAATATTCGCCACTGTAAAAACAAAATCTTGGTATTTCAATTTAAGGAAGAGGTAGCGACCAGTTGGAACGATTAGGGAGAACCTCCAGGCCGAAGGTATGATGAAAGGCCACCGACACCCCCCCTAGACCTAGCCTGCGGATTAGTACTATGATAGCACGGAGTATAGTGATGATTGTGGAGGGCTGGGATACCATCAGAGTGAAAGAGTCTCCTGGAGTAGCAAGATCTACGTTCCACATTTATGGAAATGGTAGAGCATCTGACTCCGCCTCTCCGGAGTGTTAAAGCCCCTACAATTTGAGGAAAATGTGATCAAAGTCGTAGTTGGTTGAGGGAGAACAAATAGGAGAAAAAGGGGGGTAACCCCCAAGAGGAAAGAAAAGAGGGGGTGTAGGTAAAGAACTAACGAAAAGGGAGGGGAAAAAAAAAGGCCAAGACAGGAAGAGCAGGAAAAAAACAAGATAAATCAAAAGGAGAAACTATTAGACAGGCGAACTGTCAAAATAACATACGGTGTGATACTGTATCACACACCGAAGGCCTAGGTGGGGAACGTCAAAAGCGCATTTATCCGACCCAGGCCTCCCCACAGGCAAATGATAATTTGAGGGAGGTCTCCCTCAGGTGAGGACGACCCCCCTCTAAAAAACGTACAGTAGGCCCCGCCCCCCCCAACAAATAAACATTAACAGAGCACGGTAATGACGGGGTGTGGAAGAGACAAAGGGCCTAAAGCCCCTGAGACTAGGACCGAAGGTGTCCCTGTCCGTCACGGCAAGTGGCGGAACCCAGGGACCAGCCATAGGCCACAGCCCCAGAACCTAAAAAAACAAAAGGTACAAACATAAGGAACAGATCTAATAGAAGTAACCAACAGCGTGTGCAAAAACTGTAGGAAGAGGAGGAAAGAGATAAACCTCCCAATTCATGCAGATAGGGAGTCATGCCTCCGGGATCTTTTGGGAGGAAGATCTTGAACGCTTCTTCTTGCGATCGGACTGCTGCCAGGAAGAGGGGAATGGAAGGCCAGGGGTCAGTAGTTGAAAGGGCCAATCCGGGAGGGACACCTGAGGTAGTTTGAACACACCGAGAAATGCAGGCAAGTCCCCAAGGGTGCGGAATAGAGTAGATTTACCGTTCTGGGAGGCGTGAAGTTGAAACTGGAACCGCCACTGGTAGCGGATATGCCTCCTGCAACCTCTGAGTGAGAGGGCGCATAGCTAGAGTCTGGCGGGAAAGGTCAGGGAGGAGCATCACTGGCACTTTGTTGAATAGGATGGTGTCCTGCATGCTGGCCCCACGCATAATGGTGTCCTTGACCTTAATGTAGTGGACCCTGCACAGGGTATCATGGACAAAAGATGGGTCAGGATTCCTGGGGTCCACCGTGCGATGTACGTGGTCCAACTCAATATGGGTGTCTTTAGGTTGCTGGAGCAGTTGATTGAAGATGGCAGTAACCGCTGCGGCCAAATCTTTAGATTCAATGGTTTCTGGTATGCCCCTGATCCGAATATTGTTAAGGCGGTTCCTGTTCTCAGTGTCATCCTGTTGGTACATGAGCTGTTGTATAAGAACCATATGGGAGCTAAGGGTCTCTTTGTGGGTTTGTAAAGCGTTACACAGGCCGTCGGCGGTATTTTCAATCTCTTCCATGCGCACGCAAATGTCTTGTTTATGATCAGAAATTTCCTGCTTGTATGTGCTTTCAATACGTTTCACATAAAGCTCAAAATCTGCCTTTGTAAGAAGGGATTTCATGTAGGTGTGCAGGGACTGCATGTGGGACTGCAGATCACGGCTATCCTCAGAGCAGTGAGATGCTGGGGAGGGGCTGCAGGATCTCTGTGTGTGCTGTGTTGATCAGGGTCCCAAGGAGGAGAGAGAGAGAGCCCACAGGGCTTACCTGCCCTTCTGTGCAGAGCCCTGTATCCACAGGGGACGAGGAGGGGAGAGGTGATGGCGCCCTCTTGGAGGCCGGGGCACCCGAGGCTTCGGCCGAGGATCGGGTCAGAAACCGGTTTATATCACCGCCAGACCGGCTCCCCGTTGCTCTCTGGGGGGTCCGGTGTTGATTCCTCCCCATGGGGATTATAAAGGCAAGCCCATGAGGAAGAGAGGGAGCCTGCAGCGGAGGTCCAGGCTGGGAGCTGTGCAGAATAGCTGCTACCGCTCCATGCGCCAAGCCACGCCCCCCTCTTATGATCATTTTAATTAGGGCAGAAAGTGATAGAAATCCAAATATTTTCAGTTTTAGGAATAAATTGACATCTTCCAATGATAGAAACTTTCACTAAAAGTGAATAAAGTGTTACATTACCCAGGGGATACTATGTACATAGCACTTGCCCCCATTAAAATGAGTGCTGTAGTTCCTGAGCAAAATTTTCTGAAAGCCCTCTCCTGCTGCTCTCTGACAACGCTGAAAAGTGGAGACGAACTTTGGATTACAGAGGAGAGAGGACAATGCAGAAACTGAACACCTAGAGGCCTCGCAGCCTCTTCACCCATTAAAGCTGCAAAGTTCTATTACCTTGTTATGCAGGACTTTTGACAGCTCTTTTCTGATCCCCATGGCTCAATATCTACCGGAGTGTCCCCTTCTTCAGGTCCAAGCAGTACTGAAGTACTGAAGGTCAGTACTGCTTGGACCTGAAGAAGGGGACACTCCCCGAAAGCTTGTCCTCAAAATTTTGTTAGTGCAACTAAAAAAAAAACTATCACGGACAGTATGCAATTGTTTCTAAAGCATTTTCATAAACTTGATACTGATCCTTCAAGTTAAAAAAAATGACAGCGCATAGTTATATCATAAATAGTCCTATTCATAGAACATACAGTAATTATGTCCATTATTTGTGTTGTGTTTTTTCTTTTTTTTTTCTCATTTTAGGCATCTATGATTCCAAATCCAAGCTATACAGGTAACTTTAAACTTGAATATTCACATACCCACATGAATTGATATTTTTTTTTTTATGCATGAAATCTCAATGCTAACAATTTCACAATAGATGGATGGATGTTTTGGACATTTTCATGTAACAAGTGATGACATTTTTACAAATTGAAAAGAATTACACTTTTGGATAGTTGTCAAAAGGACAGGTGACCACTGGTTAGATTTACCCTCATCTCTTGTTCTACACTGTGTGCACAATTATTAGGTGAATATTTAGACCAAATCATCATTTCTATGCATAGTGTCCAACTCCAAACTGTGTAAACTTGAATGCTTTTTGGATCTAAGCACATCAGGTGTGTATTTGTGTAATAATGACGGAGGGTGTGGCCTAAGGAGATCAGCACCCTATATCAAGGTGTGCATAATTTAGGCAGCTTCTTTTTCCTCTGGCCAAAATGGGCCAAAAAAGAGATTTTAACTGACTCTGAAAAGTCAAAAATTTAAAATATAGTCTTTCAGAGAGACAAAGCACTCTTGAAATTGCTAAGATATTGGGGCGTGATCAGAGAACCATAAAAAGTTTTGTTGCAAATGGTCAACAGGGTTGCAAGAATCAAACTTGAAGCTACCAGGAACCCAATATCCTCCAGTGCTGTCATATTCCAGAACTGAAACCTACCTGGAGTGCCCAAAAGTACAAGGTGTTCAGTGCTCAGAGACATGGACAAGGTGCGGAAGGCTGAAACCTGAACAACACACATACGTTGAAACATCAAGACTCTGCCAAGAAATATCTGAAGACCAATTTTTTTCAACGTTTTTATGCACTGATAAGATGAGTGACTCTTGACGAACCAGATGGATGGGCTTGTGGCTGGATCAGTAATGGACACAAAACTCCACTTCGACTCAGATGACCGCAAGGTGGAGGTTGGGGTACTGGTTTGGTATTTATAAAGATGAGCTAGTTGGACCTTTTTCGGTTTTAAGATTTAACTTAAAATCAACTCTCAAACCTACTGCCAGTTTTTAGGAGACACTTTTTTTTTTCAAGCAGTGGTACAGTAAAAGTCTGCATCTTTGAAGAAGAACATGATTTTTATGCAAGACAATGGTCCATCACATTCATTGAAGTACTCCACTGCTTGGCTAACCAGTAAAGGCCTTAAAGATGAAAGAATAATATGGCCCCCTTCCTCACCTGACCTAAACCCTATTGGGAACTTGTGAGTCATTCTTAAATGGGAGATTACAGTGAAGGAAAACTGTACACCTCTCTGAAAAGTGTCTGGCAGGCTGTGTTTGCTGCTGTAAAACAGTTGATCCTCAACTGATCAAGAAACTGACATATTCCTCGAATAGATGGCTTATGACTGTTATTGAAAAAAAGGGTGGCTATATTAGTCACACTTTTTTTTTTTTTTTTTTTTTTTTTTTTAAATGTCAGAAACGTTTATTTGTAATTTTGAGACGTTTATTATTTGTATTTTAACCACTTGCCTACCGGGCACTTATACCCCCTTCCTTACCAGGCCAATTTTCAGCTTTCAGCGCTGCCGCACTTTGACAATTGCGTGGTCATGCAACATTGTACCCATATGAAATTTTGATCATTTTTTTCTCACAAATAGAGCTTTCTTTTGGTGGTATTTAATCGCCACTGGGCGCTTTACTTTTTGCGCTATAAATTAAAAAAAGTGCAAAAAATTTGAAAAAAAAAAAAGTTTATTTGTTTTTTTATAAAATTTTTCAAACAGGTATTTTTTCTCCTTCACTGATTTGCGTTGATGAGGCGGCACTGATGGGCACTGATAGGCGGCACTGATGGGCACTGATAGGCGGCACTGATGGGCACTGATAGGCAGCACTAAAGGGCACTGATAGGCAGTACTAATGAGGTGGCACGGATAGGCGGCACTGATAGACAGCACTAATTAGGGGTCACGGATAGGCGGCACTGATATGCAGCACTGATAGGCGGCACTGATAGGTGACACTGATGATGGGTACTGATAGACGGCACTGACTGGCATCACTTCTGGGCACTGACTGGCGGCACTGACTGGCACAACCCCTGGGCACTGACTGGTGGCACTGACTGGCAGCACTGCTGGGCTGCACTGGTGGGTGGCACTGGTGGACAGCACTGGTGGGTGGGCACAGGTGGGTGGCACTGGTGGGCACAGGTGGGTGGCACTGGTGGGCACAGGTGGGTGGGCACAGGTGGGTGGCACTGCTGGGCACATGTAGGTGGCACTTCTGGGCACAGGTAGGTGGCACTGCAGAGTGGCACAGGTGGGGGGGGCACTGCACTGCTGGGCACAGGTGGGGGCACTGCTGGGAATGGGTGGGCGGGGTTAGTGGGCGCACTGCTGATCGGAACTTGCGGGGGTCACTGCTGGCACCGCACCGATCATCAGGGCACTGATCATCAGTGCCCTGATGATCGGTGCCGATCCCCGCTCTGACAACTGCCGGTTCTCGGCAGTACTTTCCTCACGATCTGACAGCGTGAGGAAAGTGCAGCCGAGAACCGGCACTTGCATTTTCCTGTGATCAGCGTGTCATTGGACACCGCTGATCACGTGGTAAAAGGCCGGTGGGATCGGCCTTTCACCACATCACGTGATCAGCTGTGTCCGTAGGACACAGCGATCACGGAGATCGCCGGGTGCGCGCCCCCTGGGACGCGCAGGAGAGCGCGTTCTGGGAGGACGTCATATGACGTCCACTCAGAAACTGGCCGGCCGCGGTGAAGCCGTCTTTCGGCTATGCGCGGTCGGCAAGTGGTTAACAGATTAAAATAAACAAGTGAGATGGGAGAATTTTCATTTAGTTGCATAATACATAATAATTCTGTACAGTAAGGCTCCATGCACACTAGCAGTTTGTCTTTTTTTAAGCTCAAAAACACTTTGGAAAACCTCTGATAATAGCATTTTAGTAGAATTTTAGGAGCGTTTAGCGTTTTTATAGTACTTGTGTAGAGGGGAGAAAAAGCTGTTATGAGCGGTTTTTTTTTTAGATTTTTTTTTTTGCTGGGGAAAAACTTTACAAAAACAATTTTTTTTCTGCTCCTAGGATGCTAAAGCTCAAAAACTGCTAATAGCCTAAAGTAGTATGTATGGACAAAGGATAACTCTAGCTTCTGGAAGCAGAAAATATATGCTGACAATAGCTTCTAGGACAGTGGTTCTCAACCTTTCTAATGCCGAGACCCTTTAATACAGTTCCTCATGTTGTGGTGACCCCCAACCATAAAATTATTTACCCAGTAATTCTAATTCATGAAGTGTCATTTTACCTCCAATACTGCTGCTTTCAACACAGCAGCTGCTTTCTACACAGTAGCTGCTCTTTACACATCGGAAATATGTGTTTTCCGATGGTCTTAGGCGACCCCTGTGAAAGGGTCGTTCGGCCCCCAAAGTGGTCGCGACCCACAGGTTGAGAACCACTGTTCTAGGAGCTAGTGGGCATGGAGCCTACTGGTTGCCCAATAATTATGCACACATAGATATTCTTCTAAGAAAGCCAGAACCTCACTTTTACTTTCTTAATTATTCAGGTTTGAGAATTATTAACATTTTGGATTGAATAAGAGCAATAACTCAAAAATACAACTTCCCTAAATGTGTACAGAGCGTAGTGACCATTAGATCAGTTTTGGTTTCCTTTTGACTTTCTGACCTGGTGATAATGGTAACAGGACAAATGGAAAAGGTGAATCTCCCTAGTGAAGACATAGATGGCAATGATTTGGAGTGGCTTTTAAACCTTCCTAACTCTATCCAAAACTAAAAAAAAGTTTTGACTATACATGTACTTTAAGTTGGAACTCCAGCAAATACATGTTTTGTTTTCACATTGAGTGGAAAAAGAATTGGATCCTTTTTAATGTATTTGACAAACCTGAAAAACAAATGAAACCAACAAGCAAAAGTCAGTTTGTTCTCCCATATATGTTCTGCTGTCTTTGTTTCAGGTCGAAAGCCAAGATATGTTAGACGAGAAAGGACACACAAACCGTCTGCACCAGTGCTACTTACTCAATCGGAGGAAACTCAAGTAAGCAACGTCTAGCCTTCTCCAAGGTATCGAGATGAAAGGATCTGGAATGCACTGACTATTCGAGAGCACTTAGAATGAGAACAATCAGCCTATCCACGGAAACTGTGAAAAATCTGAATTATGAAGTAAAAACAAATTACCGAAGGATCTGATACAGATCTTTGCCTGCACAAGAAATAAATGGCACATTTTGGGAAGGGGGGCCTCAACATATCTGCAATTTTACTGTGCAATTTTGTGTCTATTCACTAGAAGGATGGCAATACTATGCTGGTTTATCGGATCAATGACTGAAGAATATGCAGTTTTTGTTAATGTTATTATAAAATGCCAACATTGGACTATTTTTGTTTATGAATTTCTTTGTAATATGAGCACTGCTGTCTATTTTTTATTTTGTTTTATATTTTAATAGATTTCAATGGCTTTAATAAATTAATTTTGTTTAATCACTTGTCTTTTGCTTAGTATTTTTGTTTTGCATTGTGTGAGTAATGTACGTTTTTGTTACACAATCAGACCTGGAATTCTGTCTGATATATGGGGCTGCCTTTGTTGACCTCTTTCTGGGAATGTTAGTTGTGTAGCTCTGTTAGGCTTCTGTATTTTTCAGTCATGCAGTACATCTGGAACAAACATGCATGAGTTTGGTGTCTGAAGTCAGTGATGGGATTCCTTTAACCACTTCCTCTCCGCCCTTTAGAAGTTCTGCTACAGGGCTGCTCAAAATCACGTGTTTATATACGTGATTTACATTTCTTGGTAGGGGGCGCGCACCGCCATTGGCAGCTACAGATGTCAATCATCCGGTCCCAGCCGGAGATTCCCTGCCAGTGCCCAGCGATTGCCGAGTAACACTGACATGGAAGAGACCTGTGTGTAAACAATACAGGTGTGTCCTGCCAGCAAGGACATGCTGCTGTGTATTTCTCTGCACTGCAGAGAAATACACAGCAGCATGTTTCCCTAGTAAAACACACACAGCACATTATGTTAAACAGCACACAGTTAACCCTTTGATCACCCCAGATGTTAACGCCTTCCTTCCCAGTGTCAGTACAGTGTCATAGCTTTTTATTAGCACTGATCACTGTATTGGTGTCATTGGGATATCAGTGGCAGTTAGTTCCCACCCAGTGTTAGAATGCCCGCCGCAGTCCTGCTAGAAGTCGCCATTTGTAGACGCTATAACTTTCACATAAACCAATTAATTTACATGTATTTGGATTTTTTTTTTAGCAAAGGCATGTAGCAGAATACATTTTGGCCTCAATTTATGAAGAAATTTGATTTTTCAAATTTTTGTACTGGATATGTATAATCGCAAAAAGTCAAAAATATTGTTTTCTGGGGTTTTTTTTCTTTTTCAAAATTGTCTGCCTATTTTGTTTATAGCACAAAAAAATAAAAACCACACTGGTGATCAAATACCACTGAAAGAAAGCTCTTTGTGGGGGGAAAAAAAAAAATTTATGTACAGTGTTGCATGACTGTGCAGTTGTCAGTTAAAATAATGCAGTGCCATATTGCAAAAAATATCCTGGTGAGGAAGGGGGGGGGGTAAATCCTCTGCAGGGCAAGTGGTTAAAATAAATAGAATCTGTTAAAAAGGATGCAGAAGTATGGAAGTTGCTGTTTCTGATTTTTTTTTTTTTCTTTTTTTTTAGCTTGCTCTAGGGCTGGTATTTGCATCCTTTCTCCTACTTAGTGAGTCACTTACTTAGAATGTCAGGTGCCTGAGACCAGATCTGCACATGCTTGGTAGAAGCCCTTGACACACAGATTATTAAAGCAATGGGAATGGAAAGAATGACAGGCCCTGGAGCTATATTTTTACTATAGTATTAGTTCCAATTGGATCCATCAAGAAAACCTCCCCCATCAACAAAAAAATTCTATTGAGCCCTTTAGTTTAGCTTTACTTTTTTCTGAGCCTGAAACTACACATTGAGTGTCAGGAGTCAAAGGTTGTCTGAGAACTGACAGTAGATTTGTTCTGCACATTGCTCACTAACTCCTGAGAGTAGATAAAGGGGTGCAATAACCAATCCCCATAGTAAAGAGAAAAGTAAGCCACTACTGAGCTGTATTCACCATGTAAGGCAGAAAACCTACCACTGCAGGAACTGTCAAACTTCAGGTAACCCCTGACCATTTGCCCTCAAGCTTAAGTGTCTGACTCCTGAAAGATTTAGGTTCACCTTTAACGTTGTCTTGGTAAGCCTGCTTAGTGAAGATACATTAAAGTGATCCTTTAATGAGAAATGTATGTGGGCTGCCACTTTTGGCCTTCCTGAAAAGCTAGTCACTTGGCTGTATCTGCATCCAGTTCTTTGAGTCACAATCCAGGAACAAGCATGGTGTAAGATGAGTTTCAGAAAAGTGTTACAATTTCTTCTTTTTTGTACTTATTCCTGGTCAGAATAAGCATTTTAAGCTAACGCATCAGCATGTCGGTCAAGGAATAAACATTTTCAAAGGAAGGGATCAGCAATAGCAGCCCCCCTACTTTTCACATATCTGAATCCCTTCAAGACTGAATATTCAGATTACCTTGCCCAAGTCCAGTCGCAACCCTTTTTGTTTTGTAATTTTGTGACCCATTGTCTAAACAGAATCCATATGATTCCTATTTCTGAAAACTGGGAAAAGCAAAAGAGGTCTACAGCAGTGAGGCTCCAGCTGTACAAAAGGGAAAAGTGTGAATCTGATTGCTGCGAGTCACAGTTTCTTCGTAATGCTAGTTTTTAAAAAGCAGATCTGTTTGGTCTTCCTCATTGATTTTTGCAGCAGTTTGTTGTCCTAACCTTTTTTTTGTGTTTCAGTCTTACCAAAAAAAACAGGTTTTCCGGGGTACTAATTATTTTTTCAGCAACCCAACAATCAGCTCAGTATCATTAGTGAGCAAAATACTGCTCAGGGGAAACTGTTCACTCAAGCCTCGAGAGGTGCAGATCCTGCCTTGCCACCACAAACATGTGAAATGAAGATGATGGTTGCACACCAAAGGCTTGAAATGATTAGAAAATCCTTTATTGATCCAAAAAAATAAGACAGTACAAGGACTGTCAATCTGTTAACAGGTTTCACCCAATCACAAGCTTAATCATAACAAAAAGGTGATCAAGAGAGTGATTTCTTATAAGCACCTGCCCATATGATACCACCTACATCAATTCTAGATTGTAAGCTCGAAAGAGCAGGGCCCTTGATCCCCTCATGTTTTGCATTGTATTGGTATTGTTCTGTCACATGTTCTGTCCCCCTTTGTAATGTACAGCGCTGAGTGAACTATTGGCGCTTTATAAATACTGTAATAATAATAATAATAATAATTAGCACTCCTGACACCAAAGACCAAAGACAAACCACACACCTGCAACAATGTAGAGTATAAAAACATGTTGCACGTCAAAAAAAAGGCAATGTGAAAAATACAAAAAAAGTGTATGTACAAGTATGTAAATAGATATCCATATCCCAAAAGATCCAGAAAAATCATATACACTGAATGTAAACATAAATACAGATTTATCATAATAAAATCACATGTCCATACACTTTCAGACAGGCTTGTAAGGAGCACCACAATCTCTCCAATAAGACATCCTATACAGGAAAAACACCCTATAAAATGTTATTTATATACATATACACATACAGTTGGGTCCATATGTATTTGGACACAGGCACAATTGGTTTTTTTTTTTTTTCTTTTCAGGTATTTACCAAAACATATTCAAGCTATAGTTATGTAATTGATATGGGCTGAAAGCGCACACTCTCAGGTTTAATTTGAGGGCATGTACATCCAAATTGGAGGAAGGGTTTAGGAATTACAGTTCTTAAGAGAAGCCCCCCCCCCCTTTTTCAAGGGACCAAAAGTAATTGGACAATTGAATATAATAGTCTGGTTGAAAAAAGACAAGAGTCCATCCAGTTCAACCATAAAAGTTATAAGCCTACACCCACAGCTGATCCAGAGCAAGGCAAAAAAACCCAGCAAAGCATGATCTAAATTGCTTCTGCAGGGGAAAAATCCTACTTGACACCCCCTTCCTCCAATTTGGATATATATACCCTCAAATTAAACCTGAGAGTGTGCACTTTCAGCCCATATCCATTTATATAACTATAGCTTCAATATGTTTTGGTAAATACATGAAAAAAAAAACTAAAATTGTGCCTGTGTCAAAATATATATGGACCTAACTGTGTGTGTGTGTGTGTGTGTGTGTGTATATATATATATATATATTCTCAAGCACTTAGTTGTGTGTCCTACATATGGAACCCGGCAAAGTTTACAGGTGACAAAATAAATAACGTAGGTTGTATTGCAATTGCAAAATTAGGTGATTATATACTCTTTCATTAGCAATGGAATGAAAACTATTGCCCTTAAAAATGTGTACACAGCATGGACAGTAAGAGGAACCACATCGAGCCAGGCAGTGGACTGGGCACTAATGAAACTGAAAAAACTAGGGGATAAAGAATTGACTAAAGTTGGGGCCCTTTTTGAAATAATATTGATGCCATCCTTGAGAAATTCTGCACATATCTGGTCCTCACATAATATGGGAAGATAACAATGTTCTTAATCACACTAGATTAAAAATTAAATGGAGTGGAAAGGGTAATTTTTTTTTTTATTATTCCCATATGGATTATTCTTCAATAAATCCTCCCTCCACTTAGATCTGACAATTGAATAAGCCCTATGCAACATCCATTTGGGAAAACCCATTTGTGAGAAATGCTGGTATAGGGTGGAAGCCTCTTTTTCAAAGTCTTGCTGACTACTACAGATCTGATGGATTTGTAGGAATTGTCCAACTAGGATACTTTTATAGTATGTGTCGGATGTCCCAATTGGGCTAATAAGTGTTTTTCTGTACAGGCTGGTTACTACTCTTTTATGTTCACTGGTCAAACAGGCATCCAGTTAACAAATTTCTCTCTTGTCCGACTGACTGGTGAATCATAAGTTCTTGTCACTGATATAAGAC